TTTTTCTGTGATATCTCTTCATAAAACCAAATTATAAATTTATATTTGATAATTAATTCATTATTATATTTATTTGTTCTTTTTATCCATTTATAATTAATTAATAAATTAATCAAATTTAATAAATTGCTATTCAATATTTTTGAAAAATAAATAAATGATATAATAGATTAAAAAATATAACTCATTACAAGAAGTAATTATTAATTTTTATATTAATATCCTTTAAATTTATTTTAATTTATAAAAAAAGTTTTTAAGGTCTTCACATTTACCTCATTAGATTCTACATATTGATCTCAAGTATATTTAATTAAAAGATATTATTTTTATTATTATTAATATTTTTTGTATATTTAATTTTCAATTTATTTAAATAAATAATTTTTATTATAGAAATTATCATTATTATTTAATGATTTTTATTAAAACAAAAATTTTTTAGCTATTATTTTAACTTAATTTTCATTTAAATTTTTAATTAATTATTTATTATTCATTTTGTATTATTTGATACTTTTTCTTCATTTTTTGCTATTAAAATTTACACTTAATAAAAGCAGTTTATTTGATTTACATTTTAATATTTTTAATTATAAAAGTTAATTTAAAATATTAAAGCTCTTTTAATTTATTTGATTTGTTTACCTTTTTCTTTTTATTATAATTTCTTATTTTTTGATTCTTTGTTAATTTTATTTATTATTAATTAATCTTATTATTTCATTTTTCCCTCCTAATTAACGAGCGAAATGCCGCCTTTTTAATTTATAAAAGGCGAAATGTAATATATCTTAATAACTTGATATAAAGCTAAATTAGCTTAAATTAGCTTTACTTTTGAGTTAATTGAAAGCTTTGAATTCAGAAAATGTCAAATTTGAAATTATATATACCACATATTCTTATAACATATCATTTTTTTTTAAAAATATAAATTTTGAAAACCTATGATAGAAAAAAAACACATAAAAAAATTTTTAATTTTAATTTTATAAAATATAAAAACTGGTATATTAAACTCGCTTTTTGTAAATTTGTATGGCAACTTACTCTATTTAATGATATATTTTTTCTTCAATATTTAAAAAGTTACAATTAAATTGGTGATGAAGGTGCATCAGGCTTAGGTTCAGCTTTGGCAAAATGCATTAATCTCTCAAATTTGACACTTGACCTTAGGTAAAAACAGTTTATTTGTTTTGGATTGTGATATTTTTAATTATAAAAACTAATTAAAAACAATAAAGCTCTTTTTTCTTTTACTTTTTATCGTGCTTGCAGTTTTGTTTTTTCTTTGTTAATTAAGCTCATCATTTATTTTATTCATTTGCTTTTATTATTAATTAATTTTATTATTTCATATTTTTTCTTCATTTTTTCCTTCTAATTAACTATTTAATGATATATTTTTTCTTCAATATTTAAAAAGGTCTAATTTAATTGGTGCAATGGGTGCATCAGGCTTAGATTCAGCTTTAGCAAAATGCATTAATCTCTCAAATTTGACACTTTACCTTTAGTAAAAACAGTTTATTTGTTTTGGATTGTGATATTTTTAATTATAAAAACTAATTAAAAACAATAAAGCTCTTTTTTCTTTTACTTTTTATCGTGCTTGCTGTTTTGTTTTTTCTTTGTTAATTAAGCTCATCATTTATTTTATTCATTTGCTTTTATTATTAATTAATTTTATTATTTCATATTTTTTCTTCATTTTTCCCTTCTAATTAACTATTTAATGATATATTTTTTCTTCAATATTTAAAAAGTTACAATTAAATTGGTGCAATGGGTGCATCAGGCTTAGGTTCAGCTTTAGCAAAATGCATTAATCTCTCAAATTTGACACTTGACCTTAGGTAAAAACAGTTTATTTGTTTTGGATTTTATAAAAACTAATTAAAAACAATAAAGCTCTTTTTTCTTTTACTTTTTATCGTGCTTGCTGTTTTGTTTTTTCTTTGTTAATTAAGCTCATCATTTATTTTATTCATTTGCTTTTATTATTAATTAATTTTATTATTTCATATTTTTTCTTCATTTTTTCCTTCTAATTAACTATTTAATGATATATTTTTTCTTCAATATTTAAAAAGGTCTAATTAAATTGGTGATGAAGGTGCATCAGGCTTAGGTTCAGCTTTGGCAAAATGCATTAATCTCTCAAATTTGACACTTGACCTTTAGTAAAAATACTTTATTTGTTTTGGATTGTGATATTTTTAATTATAAAAACTAATTAAAAACAATAAAGCTCTTTTTTCTTTTACTTTTTATCGTGCTTGCTGTTTTGTTTTTTCTTTGTTAATTAAGCTCATCATTTATTTTATTCATTTGCTTTTATTATTAATTAATTTTATTATTTCATATTTTTTCTTCATTTTTCCCTTCTAATTAACTATTTAATGATATATTTTTTCTTCAATATTTAAAAAGGTTTAATTAAATTGGTGAGGAATGGGTGCATCAGGCTTAGGTTCAGCTTTAGCAAAATGCATTAATCTCTCAAATTTGACACTTAACCTTAGGTAAAAACAGTTTATTTATTTTGGATTGTGATATTTTTAATTATAAAAACTAATTAAAAACAATAAAGCTCTTTTTTCTTTTTCTTTTTATCGTGCTTGCTGTTTTGTTTTTTCTTTGTTAATTAAGCTCATCACTTATTTTAAATTTTTGTTTTTATTATTAATTAATTTTATTATTTCATATTTTTTCTTCATTTTTTCCTTCTAATTAACTATTTAATGATATATTTTTTCTTCAATATTAAAAAAGTTACAATTAAATTGGTGAGGAAGGTGCATCAGGCTTAGGTTCAGCTTTAGAAAAATGCATTAATCTCTCAAATTTGACACTTAACCTTGAGTAAAAACAGTTTATTTGTTTTGAATTGTGATATTTTAAACTATAAAAATGAATATAAAAAAAATTTCTTTGAATTTATTTGATAGCTTTTATTTGATTTATTTTTTTATCTTTTTTATTGCACTAATATTATTTTATTTATAAATTTAAAGAATAATTTAATTTAAAAGTTTATTCTATTTTTATATTTATTTAAAATTTACACAGATTTATTTTAAAATTTTTAGCTCAATGAAAATTTCATAAAAATTCAAAGTAAAAGGCAAGTGTCTTAAATCATAAAGATTAGTTGTCTTTAATTTAAATTTCTAATGATAAACAGCTGGTGAAAAAAGGATGAATCAATATAAAATGTTTGAATAATATTATACATTTTATTATTTAATATTTTTAAAAAGTGTTTTTAACCTAAAATATAAATAGATTTATAGTTTTTATTATTGATTTTAAATTTATAAATATCATTCATATTTTTGTAAGTAAATAAATTATTTATTAAAAATAAAAAAATTTAAAAATTAAATTTACTTAAATAAATTAAATTCTCTTAAGCAAACCCTCCGAATTCTCCAAAAACGATAAAATAATTTGGAACTTTTAGTTTAATATATCTTATTAAATTAAAAAAATACCAAGCTTTTATATGCCAGTTATAATATTATCTTAAATATTATCCATGAATCATATTTCTATCCTTTTTTTATTTATCATAATTAATTAGATACCATGATTTAAATAAAACCTTAGGGAGAAATCAAATTTTACTTTTTAATTTAATTTTTGTGATTTAAATTATTTATTTTGAAATAAAAATAAATTAAATTATTTATTAATTATAATTATATTATAATACATATATATATATATTAAATTTTTTAATAAATTAATAAAAAAATATATTTCATAAAAAGTGGAATACAAACCATGAAATTTTTGTATGGCATCTTGCTATATTAGAAATATTATAAATATTCCCAAAATTACAAAACTAAAACAGAAAAATCTACTTATAAACGTTATTCTTATAAAATTTAAGAACATTAACAACTAGAATTTTTTCGAATAGGACTAAATAAATAACTGACCATCTCTAATTCTTACTATATATATTTTTAAGCGTTTGTTTTAAATACAAATATTAAGTTTAAATAGTGAATGTTAAATTAATTTTTCTGTGATATCTCTTCATAAAACCAAATTATAAATTTATATTTGATAATTAATTAATTATTATATTTATTTGTTCTTTTTATCCATTTATAATTAATTAATAAATTAATCAAATTTAATAAATTGCTATTCAATATTTTTGAAAAATAAATAAATGATATAATAGATTAAAGAATATTATAGATTAGAAGAAGTAATTATTAATTTTTATATTAATATCCTTTAAATTTATTTTAATTTATAAAAAAAGTTTTTAAGGTCTTCAAATTTACCTCATTAGATTCTACATATTGATCTCAAGTATATTTAATTAAAAGATATTATTTTTTTTATTATTAAAATTTTTTGTATATTTAATTTTCAATTTATTTAAATAAATAATTTTTATTATAGAAATTATCATCGTTATATAATGATTTTTATTAAAAGAATATTTTTTTGCTATTTTAACTTAATTTTCATTTCATTTCAATTTTTAATTAATTATTTAATATTCATTTTTTATTATTTGATACTTTTTCTTCATTTTTTGCTATTAAAATTTACTCTTAATAAAAGCAATTTATTTGATTTGCATTGTAATATTTTTAATTATAAAAGTTAATTTAAAACATTAAAGCTCTTTTAATTTATTTGGTTTGTTTTCCTTTTTCTTTTTATTATAATTTCTTATTTTTTGATTCTTTGTTAATTTTATTTATTATTAATTAATCTTATTATTTCATTTTTTTTTTCATTTTTCCCTCCTAATTAACTAGAGTGAAATGCCAACTTTTTAATTTGTAAAAGGCGAAATGTCATATATCTTAATAATTTAATATAAAGCTAAATTATCTTAAAATAGCTTTTTACAGAAATCTTTAAATTCAGAAAATGTCAAATTTGAAATTATATATACCACATATTCTTATAACATATCATTTTTTTGAAAAATATAAATTTTTAAAACCTAGGATGGAAAAAAACAAATAAAAATATTTTAAATTTTAATTTTATAAGATATAAGAACTGGTATAACTCGCTTTTTGTAAATTTGTATGGCAAATTACTCTATTAAATAATATATTTTTTCTTCAATATTTAAAAAGTGAAGATTAAATTAATGATGAAGATGCATCAGACTTAGGTTCTGGTTTAGCAAATTGCATTAATCTCTCAAATTTGACACTTAATCTTTAGTAAAAACAGTTTATTTGTTTTGGATTGTGATATTTTTAATTATAAAAACTAATTAAAAACAATAAAGCTCTTTTTTCTTTTTCTTTTTATCCTGCTTGTTTTTTTTTTGTACATTGTTTTTTAATTAGTCTCATCATTTATTTTAAACAATTGCTTTTATTACTAATTAATCTTAATTTTTCATATTTTTTCTTCATTTTTTCCTTCTAATTAACTATTTAATCATATATTTTTCTTCAATATTTAAAAAGGATTAATTATATTGGTGCTATGGGTGCATCAGGTTTAGGTTCTGGTTTAGCAAAATGCATTAATCTCTCAAATTTGACACTTAACCTTCAGTAAAAACAGTTTATTTGTTTTGGATTGTGATATTTTTAATTATAAAAACTAATTAAAAACAATAAAGCTCTTTTTTCTTTTCTTTTTATCGTGATTGCTATTTTGTTTTTTCTTTGTTAATTAAGCTCATCATTTATTTTAAATTTTTGTTTTTATTATTAATTAATTTTATTATTTCATATTTTTTCTTCATTTTTTCCTTCTAATTAACTATTTAATGATATATTTTTTCTTCAATATTTAAAAAGTAACAATAAAATTGGTGATGAAGGTGCATCATGCTTAGGTTCTGGTTTAGTAAAATGCATTAATCTCTCAAATTTGACACTTAACCTTTGGTAAAAACAGTTTATTTGTATATTTTTAATTATAAAAACTAATTAAAAACAATAAAGCTCTTTTTTCTTTTTATTTTTATCGTGATTGCTGTTTTGTTTTTTCTTTGTTAATTAAGTTCATTATTTATTTTAAACTTTTGTTTTTATTATTAACTAATTTTATTATTTCATATTTTTTCTTCATTTTTTCCTTCTAATTAACTATTTAATGATATATTTTTTCTTCAATATTTAAAAAGTAAAAATTAAATTGGTGATGAAGGTGTATCAGGCTTAGGTTCAGCTTTAGCAAAATGCATTAATCTCTCAAATTTGACACTTTACCTTAAGTAAAAACAGTTTATTTGTTTTGGATTGTGATATTTTTAATTATAAAAACTAATTAAAAACAATAAAGCTCTTTTTTCTTTTATTTTTATCGTGATTGCTGTTTTGTTTTTTCTTTGTTAATTAGGCTCATCATTTATTTTATACATTTGCTTTTATTATTAATTAATTTTATTATTTCATATTTTTTCTTCATTTTTTCCTTCTAATTAACTATTTAATCATATATTTTTTCTTCAATATTTAAAAAGTAACAATGAAATTGGTGATGAAGGTGCATCAGGCTTATATTCAGCTTTAGCAAAATGCATTGATCTCTCAAATTTGACACTTAACCTTTTGTAAAAACAGTTTATTTGTTTTGGATAGTGATATTTTTAATTATAAAAACTAATTAAAAACAATAAAGCTCTTTTTTCTTTTTATTTTTATCGTGCTTGCTGTTTTGTTTTTTCTTTGTTAACTAAGCTCATTATTTATTTTAAACTTTTGTTTTTATTATTAACTAATTTTATTATTTCATATTTTTTCTTCATTTTTTCCTTCTAATTAACTATTTAATCATATATTTTTTCTTCAATATTTAAAAAGGTGTAATTAAATTGGTGATAAAGGCGCATCAGGCTTAGGTTCAGCTTTAGCAAAATGCATTGATCTCTCAAATTTGACACTTGACCTTCTGTAAAAACTGTTTATTTGTTTTGGAATGTGATATTTTTAATTATAAAAATTAATTAAAAACAATAAAGCTCTTTTTTCTTTTTCTTTTTATTGTGCTTGCTGTTTTGTTTTTTCTTTGTTAATTAAGCTCATCATTTATTTTAAATTTTTGTTTTTATTATTAATTAATTTTATTATTTCATAATATTCTTCATTTTTTCCTTCTAATTAACTATTTAATGATATATTTTTTCTTCAAAATTTAAAAAGTAGCAATTAGATTGGTGATGAAGGTGCATCAGGCTTAGGTTCAGCTTTAGCAAAATGCATAAATCTCTCAAATTTGAAACTTAATCTTTGGTAAAAACAGTTTATTTATTTTGGATAGTGATATTTTTAATTTTAAAAACTAATTAAAAACAATAAAGCTCTTTTTTCTTTTCTTTTTATCGTGCTTGCTGTTTTGTTTTTTCTTTGTTAATTAAGTTCATCATTTATTTTATACATTTGCTTTTATTATTAATTAATTTTATTATTTCATATTTTTTCTTCATTTTTTCCTTCTAATTAACTATTTAATCATATATTTTTTCTTCAATATTTAAAAAGTTGCAATTAAATTGGTGATGAAGGTGCATCAGGCTTAGGTTCAGCTTTAGCAAAATGCATTAATCTCTCAAATTTGGAACTTAGCCTTGGGTAAAAATAGTTTATTTGTTTGGGATTGTGATATTTTTAATTATAAAAACTAATTAAAAACAATAAAGCTCTTTTTTCTTTTTCTTTTTATCGTGCTTGCTGTTTTGTTTTTTCTTTGTTAATTAAGTTCATCATTTATTTTAAACTTTTGTTTTTATTATTAATTAATTTTATTATTTCATATTTTTTCTTCATTTTTTCCTTCTAATTAACTATTTAATGATATATTTTTTCTTCAATATTTAAAAAGTAACAATAAAATTGGTGATGAAGGTGCATCAGGCTTAGGTTCAGCTTTAGCAAAATGTATTAATCTCTCAAATTTGACACTTGACCTTCAGTAAAAACAGTTTATTTGTTTTGGATTGTGATATTTTTAATTATAAAAACTAATTAAAAACAATAAAGCTCTTTTTTCTTTTACTTTTTATCGTGCTTACTGTTTTGTTTTTTCTTTGTTAATTAATCTCATCATTTATTTTAAATTTTTGTTTTTATTATTAATTAATTTTATTATTTCATATTTTTCTTCATTTTTTCCTTCTAATTAACTATTTAATCATATATTTTTTCTTCAATATTTAAAAAGTGGAAATTAAATTGGTGATGAAGGTGCATCAGGCTTAGATTCAGCTTTAGCAAAATGCATTAATCTCTCAAATTTGGAACTTAGCCTTGGGTAAAAATAGTTTATTTGTTTTTAATTGTGATATTTTAAACTATAAAAATGAATATAAAAAAAAATTTCTTTGAATTTATTTGATAGCTTTTATTTGACTTATTTTTTATCTTTTTTATTGCACTAATATTATTTTATTTATTAATTTAAAGAATAATTTATAATTTAAAAGTTTATTCTATTTTGATATTTATTTAAAATTTACACAGATTTATTTTAAAATTTTTAGCTCCAATGGAATTTTCATAAAAATTCAAAGTAAAAGGCAAGTGTCTTAAATCATAAAGATTAGTG